TTGGGTTCCAACTAATCTAAGCCCTTTTGCAGTTTTAAAACTCCCACCTGCCCTCTGAATATTCTGATTGATACCCAGCACTTGCAACACTATTTGATGAAAAAAAAATCCTGGGTGATTTGACAGACAACGGGTGAAAAAAAATTAAAAGAGAAAAAAGTCAAAGAACATGAAGCATTTGTGTTGCCCTTTATGATTAATACAAATTATTAATGCTTGGGGACTCTCACTCGGAAATCAATGGAAATGGAGGGGCGCTTTCATGTTTTCCTCCTTCCATTAAAATCCAAAGTCCTATCCCTAGAAATAACTGATGCTTTCTTTAAGGAAAGCTAGCATTTGTTGTCAAAGCAGAAATAATAAGGCGCTTGAGTCACCTTAAAGACTAACAAGTTTGGTTTAGTATAAGCATTCTTGATTGTGTCCTGCTCCTTTGCTGTCAAGTGAATGCCGTAAGTGCTGTTAGATTTTACAAGCAGTTATAGAACCTAGCCACACGCTGGGATTGCCCTTGGTCATTTTGGGGTTGTTCCAGGTCATTCTGGTCCCCCTCTCCCCAATTTGAATAGATTGTCTTAATATTTGCATCTAGGAGGATATTTGTTGTGGGATGTATTGGAATAGAATAGATTTTCCTGGTATTGTTACAGTATGTGTTGTCAAGTCTAAACCGACTTATAGCAAGCCTAACAGGGCTTTCAAAGTAAGTGAGATATTTAAGGATACATTTTACCAGTTCCACACCCCATGAATTTCCATGGCTGAGTGAAGATTTGAGACCTCTTGAGTCCTAGTCCTTCACTCTTATCCATTACACCAGGGGTCCCCAACCACCAGTCTGCAGCCCGGTGCCAGTCCGTGGGCTGTGGAGACTGATCTCCCCCCCTCCTGCACAGTGGGCGTGCGAGTGCGACACACGGCGAGCGCAGACGTAGCCCCCCAACTGGTCCACAGTCCCAAAAAGGTTGGGGACCGCTGCATTACACCACACTGGGTATCACTTTCCTGGTATTAGTTGCCTAAATCTATGTAAAACAACATCCCTGGTCTGTAAAATATGAATGGGAAGTTGGTAGAACAAAAAAGAATTTGGGCATGTTAAGAAAACAAAAAAAGGAGAAAAACAAAAATATAGAATACAATATTGCTGTTGTGTTATACAGTACTTTATAAAGAGTCTATTCACCTTAGCACTAAATTTATGCTTTACACATACAAAAAGGAAGAGGAGATGGATAAAACTGAAGGCAGAAATATCACAAGAAAACGAGACAAAACAAAAGATGGGAATAGCCCTAAGATGTGGAGAGGTGGCAACTGAACAGCAAAAACACACCTGTAAGGAAACAACATCTAATAACGTACACCCCAATTCAGCACTTGGGTCTCTAATTTGCTCCAGTCCACCACTTGACTGGAGCAAACTGGGTCCAAACACAACAAAAATAAACCACCAGCTGGTGGTGCTGTAAAAAGCCCAAGAAAGTTTTAAAAATTGTCCCATGTTGACTCTCTTTGAAGCCAGGTTCATCACAGTGGGAAAGTATGGTGGTGTCTCGCTAGACGATTGCCTTGCGGGACGAAAAACCTGCAAGACGATTGGTTTTTGGTGCCTACTTAGACTTTTTTTCTATGATCGTGCTTCGCAAGACTTTTTTTCCCTTTTTAAAGTATTTTATTATTTTTTATGACATACTATCTACAACACAAAAAAACAACAGAAATACCTACAAAACCTACAAAACAATAACACATAAAACTAACACAACATACAAGACTAACAAAACAAACATATAGGCCGGGAGGTATTTCTCATGCCAGCTTATCTATTATATAAGTTCTGACTACAGAAATATATCTGTGTGCATCTGCACATGTTATATTCCACATCACTATTTTATATATCTAATTAAGCATCTAAACATCCTAAATTTATAATCATTTTTTTAAAATTCTCTCATCTGCATTTCCATCCATCTCTCTCATCATATCCATCATAATATCCTCACAGGCCTATTCATTCCTTGATGATCTCCATTCTTAGCATAATCATTCTTTTGGTTCACACATATTTGATATTTCCATATACATGCCTTAAAGCAAAACATCCAATATTATTATTCATCATCATTTCTAAAATTCATAAATCACATACGGTTGTCTAACCTTAAATTTCAGATCAGGTAAAATTTGCTTATAGTATATTAGTCATGTTGCTTTATATATTAATTATATATTAATTATATCTATCTTAAACCAATTGACTTCTATTATTTATTCAGCAAGTAACTTCCTCCTTTCTGGTTTCTATCAGCTCCAGTGTCATCAAACCAAGATTGGCCTCTTAATCTTATCAACATTGTCACTATTATGATCATACATATCTAATATCTCAATATACATGCCTCACAAGCAAAGTATTTTCCAGTTTTAAAATGCCATCTGTAATATTTCTTTAAAACAT